TTTCTTAATGTTTTATTTATTTCTGAGAGAGAGAGAGAGAGAGAGAGAGAACAGCATGAGCAGGGGAGGGTCAGAGAGAGGGAGACAACAGAATCTGAAGCAGGCTCCAGGCTCTGAGCTAGCTGCCAGCACAGCCCAATGCGGGCCGAACCCACGAACCGAAGTCAGCTCGCTCAACTGACTGAGCCACCCAGGCCCCATTTTTTCCCTTTTTAAAGAACTCATTATATAGAGATACTAACCCTTTCTTTGTCAGGTAAGTTGCAAATACTTATTTCTGAGTTGTCATTTTTGTTTATCTTTTGATTTTGGTTTTTACTTTAACTCTGCAGAGGGTTTTGTTTGCTTGTTTTTTAATATTTTTGGTCAAATCTGTCATTATTTTATTGCATCAGGATTTTTAGTCACAGGAAAATTTTATTCCTTCTTAAGTTATGGAGGAACTCACCCATGTTTTCTTCTATAATTTACATAGTCTTTTACATTTAACCTTGACGTGTCCATTTGCAGTTTTCCTGATGTATAGATGAGAAAGGATCCTATTTTATCTTTCTTATCCTATCTATTAAGTTATCTTATCACTCTTTAAAAAAATGTTTTTTAACACTTATTTATTTTTTGAGAGACAGGAGACAGAGAGAGATAGAGCCTGAGAGGAGGAGGGGCAGAGAGAGAGGGAGACTTAGCTTCTGAAACAGGCTTCAGGCTCTGAGCTGTCAGCACAGAGTCCCATGCAGGGCTCGAACCCAAGAACTGAGATCATGAGCAAAAGTTGGTTGCTCAAACAACTGAGCCACCCAGGTGCCCCAAGTTATCTGATCAGTCTTAATGTGAGATTCTTTTTTTCCTACTCTATGATACTGTCTTTATCATTTACTATATTCCAGATGTATTTGAGTCTATTTCCATTGATACCTCTTTTTATTTATGTGTCTGTACCATATTATTTTAATTGTGGAAGCTTTATGTTTATATTTGGTACTGCCTGGTAGATTAATCCTTTCTCATTGCTCTTTTCTCAGATTTTTCTTGGCTTACTTTGCTTTTCTTCCTGTTAAAATATATAACCAACTTGTCTTATTCCCACTTAGAAGCTTTATGTATTTTTTTGAGACTGCATTAAATTGCCCTATTAATGTTACGAATCAAAGATGCTAAGATTTCTTATGTGAGAACATGGGCTAGCTTTAGTTTCTTCTAATAGCTTTTTAAAGGAATGCTTTCATAGCTTTCTTTATGTAGGTTTTGTTCACTTTTTGTTATAACTTCATGTCTAAGTATTTTAATTCACTTTTTATATTTTACAAAGTTAAAAAGATAGAAGCATTTTCCCCACATATTTTCTTTATGATATCTCTGTTTGTACCCAAAGTGTCCTTTAAACTTTATTGGGTTTAGGATCCAAAGATCTTAAGATCATAACCCTTACATTCTTTCATATAATAGATTTTTATTTTTTAAGTCTTGGTCACATGTCTTGTTGAATAGTTATTATTGAGCTTAACAGGGATTTAGAATCCTCTGAAACTCTTTGAATCTTTGTACCGAGACCACACTTCATAGCAGTTAAGTCAGAAACTCTGGGGATGGTGCCTGGCTGTGGGTAGCCATGTTGAGAAGCATGTCTATTTTGACTGATCTGTTTTTCCTCATGATTGAGTCAGATTCTGTATTTTTCTTAGGCTCATTTATCATATATTTCTTATAAGGTATGAGTGTAGCATTATTAATAATACCACCAAATATCCTACTCGAAAAGTAGACTTTTTTTTCCTCCTTTTGTAAACTAATCATCTGTCATGTGAAACCTGGGGATGTGTGAATGTTCTTATTCCCAACAGCCTTTCACCCAGTGGTTGCTAGTGTAGGTTGAGCCCTTTTTCTCACATTTCTTGGCCATAGATCTTTTCTTTTGTGAAGTCACTGTGTTAGGTCCTTTCCCCATTTTTCCATTAGATCATGTTGTTCTTATTGTTTTAGGAGTATTTCATATATTTTGGATATAATCCCTTTATCATTTCAAGATGTTGCCCAAATTTCCTGTCCTCTGATGCCTTTTTAAAAACTTGTTTTTTGGGGCCACCTGGGTGGTTCAGTTGGTTAAGTGGCCGACTTAGGCTCAGGTCATGATCTCACAGTTCATGAGTTCGAGCCCCGTGTCGGGCTCTGTGCTGACAACTCAGAGCCTGGAGCCTTCTTCAGATTCTGTGTCTCCTCTCTCTGCTCTTCCTCTGCTCACACTTTGTTTGTCTGTCTCAACAAACAAACAAACTTATTTCCTTTGGATTAATAGAAGTTCTTGGGGCGCCTGGGTGGCTTAGTCGGTTAAGCGTCCGACTTTCGCTCAGGTCATGATCTCGCGGTTTGTGGGTTCGAGCCCCGCGTCGGGCTCTGTGCTGACTGCCAGCTCAGAGCTTGGAGCCTGTTTCAGTCTGTGACTCCCTCTCTCTCTGACCCTCCCCTGCTCACGCTGTCTCTCTCTCTCTCTCCTAGAAATAAATAAAACATTTAAAAAAAAAAAATAGAAGTTCTTAACTTCAATGTCCTCCAATTAACATTGGTCTTTTTCTTTATAGTTAGTGTTTTTAATTTTTTTTTTTTTTTTTGCTTATCTACAGATCGCAAAGATAGTTTTTTGTGTAATGTTCTGGAAGTTTTACTGATCACATTTGAACCTGCTGTCCATCTGGAATTGATTTTCACATATTTTGTGAGATTGAAATCAAATTTGTTTTTCTCTCTCTCTCTTTTTTTTTTTTTAATATTTTTATTTATTTCTAGGAGAGAGAGAGAGACAGCGTGAGCAGGGGAGGGTCAGAGAGAGAGGGAGATACAGACTCTGAAGTAGGCTCCAGGCTCTGAGCTGGCAGTCAGCACAGAGCCCGACGCGGACTGGAACCCACGAACTGCAAGATCATAACCTAAGCGAAAGTCGGACGCGTAACCAACTAAGCCACCCAGGTGCCCCATCAAATTTGTTTTTCTCAATGTCCTTTTCTCACTGCTCTACTAGTAACGCTTTTTTTTTTTTTTAATAAACCAAGTATCTATGTTTGTGGGTCAGATTCTAGATTATAAATTTAGTTCCATTGATCCTTCAGTTTATCTTTTAGTGATAGCATACTCTGTTAAATTACTCTATCGTCGGAATAAATCTTTATATCCATTAGTCCATCAGTTTTGTACTTCGTAATGAGTTACCTCAAATTTTATAGTTAAGAACAACACAAATTTGTTATCTCACAGTTTTTGTGTATCAGGAGTCTGGGAATAGGTTAGCTAGGGCCTCTTAGGTGTAAGGCTGCAGTCAAAAGTGTCACCTGGGTTCCCTTCCATACATACGTGGCAGAATTTATTTCTACATAGCTGTAGAACTCACAGGAGCTTGCTTTCAGATCAGTAGTAGAATTTTATCCTCTTAAGTGACTTACACGATTAGGTCAGGCCCACCCAAGGCAATCTCCCTTTTAGATCAGAGTCAGCTGATTAAGGGATCTTAATTATACTTGCAAAACCATAACACAAGGAACACAAAATCACAGGAACACAAGTCTGTCCCTTGTGTGTGAGGGTCATTGGAGGTCATTTTAGAATTCTGCCTACCTCACTGTGAGTTTACTCATTTTGTTCTCCAAGATGGCTTTGGTTATTTTTAGTCATTTGAGTTTCTATGTAAGTTTGAGAATGAACTTGTTAGTTTCCACAGAAATATCTGCCAAGATTTTAATTCCAGTTGTCTGGAATTTATAGGCTAATTTGGGGAGAAATGACGTTTTGTAATATTGAGCTGTCCAATCCATGAATGTAGTGTATTCATTTATTCAGGTATTCCTTATTTTTTTCTCAATAATACTTTAACAATTTCTGGGTAATAGTCTGTTCTTTCTCCTGTTAACCAAGTTTTAGTATATGGCATGAGTATTTATTAGCTATTTGTTTTGATAACCTGGGAATGATACGTCTCTGTCTCTGCTTGCTTATGTCTGTTTGTTGAAATGTTTTCCACAGTGGTCATCTCCTCAGTGGGTCGTACATAACCCAGGGACTGTGTAAGATAGTCTGTTCAGTTATGGGAAGAAAGTACTCAGATGCCTCCCTACATTTATTTTAATCCAAAAAAAAAGAATAGAGAAATCTAATGTATGGTGAAATGAATATAGACAGTAATACTGTATTATCATTAGGTATTGTGGTAAATATAGCTATGTTGGCAATCATTACAATGTATAGGTGTATCAAAGTTACACAGTGTTATGTACCAGATTTATTCAGTTGAAAACAAAAATGACTTAGAAAAAAATGAGGAAATTTAATATATAGATTGACATTATCAGTTGACAATTATATTTTTTAAAAAAAGGTTTCCTGGATGGAAGAGTAACCAAATATTTTGGACACCCTTAATGTACGGAGTTGTGTCCAGAATTGCTTGTAACATGTTCCCTGAATATTACTATAGCTGTTTATCTTCTCAGAGTCCCAACAGTACTACCCTGTGTGTTCATCGTTACTCCTTTCACTACATATTTTGGATGTATGCATGGTGATGCTGTTGCCCCAGGTTTGTGAATGATACTCTGTTATCAATGAAACCCACCCCAGTAGCAGGAATAGAACTTTTCTCTCCTCTGTAACCTCTATCTACTTTGCGCATCTTTTTCCTGTAGTAGCATTGCATTGCAGTTATATGCTTATACGTTTGTGTCTGTTTGTCAGACTATATGCTCCTTGAGAACAGTGACGGGGTATTATTGGTCTTCAGACTCTCAGAGTAGGAGAATTCTTTACGACACACAGGCATTTAGTGGGACACCGGTCCCTTAGCACAGCGGTGAGGAATATCTGTCACGGGATCTCCTTGTCCAGCCAAGTGCACAAGTAGACATGCCATAACACATTTTCTAATTGCCTGTGAATAGCTAACCCCCTAACAGTTCTCTGACAGCTATTCTATGTCTTCCAGTTCTCATTACTTACACAACTGTACTGTGCTGTTTCAGGGATTATTATCATTTGAGGATGTGACTGTGGGCTTCTCCCAGGAGGAGTGGCAGCGCCTGGCCCCTGCCCAGAGGACCTTGTACAGGGACGTGATGCTGGAGAACTACAGCCACCTTGTGTCAGTGGGTAAGAGATGGTTTGCTATGTAGACTTCTAGTATGCATGTCCTTTCTTGGTTTGAAACCTGTAGAAGCTTTGTTGGGTTTAGTGATAGGGAGGCTTGATATTCAAGTACTAAGGGGAAGGATTGTTGAAGCACCATAAATAATGTTTTCTTTCTCGGGGTGCCTGGGTGGCTCAGTCGGTTAAGCTTCTGACTTTGGTTCAGGTCATGATCTCACAGTCCGTGAGTTCCATCCCCGTGTCGGGCTCTGTGCTCAAAGCTCGGAGCCTGGAGTCTGCTTTGGATTCTGTGTCTCCCCCTCTCTCTGCCCCTTCTCTGCTCGTGCTCTGTCTCTCTCTCAAAAATAAATAAACATTAAAAACAATTGTTTTCTTTTTCAATGAAAGGTTGTATTTGGCACCTGAAGTTTCGTTTTCTGTGTTCTTCAAAGGCCCTAAAGCCCATGGGCCTAGTCCAGCTCCCATGTCGTTTCCCATCCGCAGGGTACTGCGTCCCCAAACCAGAAGTGATCTTCAGGCTGGAACAAGGACAGCAACCATGGCTCGTAGAGGGAGAGTCCCCAGACCAGAGCTGCCCAGGTGAGTTAGGATGTGTTAAACGGATGGACACTAGGTGGCACGGTATGAATTCCTTTTGTTCTCAGGTGTTTGCTTACGTGTTCATTTCACATTCTGCAAATACTGAGTACCTAGTGTGTGCACCAACGTTTTAGGTGCTGGAAACACTTAAGCAAACTAAATTGTTCCTCACCTCGTGGAACCTACATTCTGATAGGAAGAGAAACGTAAGAAACAAACAACAGTTCGTACGTAACACACAGACATATAACATACCAATAAAATAGCAAGGAAGTTAAAGATGAAAATAATGAAATGTTTTATTTGAGAAAAGAGGTTCAGGAAGGCAGTTGGGTGATATCAGCTTGAATGGAATGAGGGTGAAGATCATGGGGAGTCTGGATGGCAGAGGGGAGATTAAATGTCATTCCACCAAGGCAGGAATGTACTTGGTGTTTTTGAGGGCACATGTGTCAGTGTGGACTGGGGGAAATGAGTGAGCAGAGGGTGGGAAGAGTTGACATTATAGTGGTAAAGGAACTCAAATTCTGTAGGGCCATTCGGGCCATAATAAAGATTTTGATTTTATTCTGAATGAAATGAGAAGCCTTTGGTATAATTTTACCTAATAAGCAACATATGCTTATTTTTTCTTTGAACTTTTCTCTCTGACCTCTGGGCAAAGAAAATAACTACTGGGGCAGAGGAATGAAAGCAGGACATCAGGACAGTACTTCAGTCTGTGAGGAGGTGGTGATAGCTCACCCCTGGTTGGAAGTGGTGGAGAAGATTAAAAGTGGTTGCCTTCTGGTTATGTTTTGAAGGTGGGGCCTAAAAGATTTGCTGTGAGTTGGGTAAGAAATGTGAGAGAAAGAAAGGAGCAAGAACTACTCCGAGGATTTCATCCAGAGCAATTGGATGAATGGGTATCAGTTGCCAAGATGGGGAGACTGGGAGAAACAGTTTAGAAGGGGGCGTTAGGAGTTTAGGTTGCACATACCACGTTTCAGGTGATGATAAAATATCCGGCTTACCTGGGAGTTAGCATTTGGCTGTATGAGCAGAGGTAGTTTAGGGGAGACCCCAGGTTGGAGATCATTTATTTGGAAATTATCAGTTTATGGTAGGATTTAAAGTTTTTAAACTTAGCATTTGAAACTGAGGGATCAGACAACCTCTCCTTAGAAGTAAGAATGAACAGATCTGAGAGGTCTGAAGGTCCCAGGGACACCAGCTTTCAGAAGTCATTAAAAGGAGAAAGCTCAGTGAAGAGAGAAGAAGCAGTTTGGGGATGAGGTGGAAACAGAATGTGGTATCAAGTCACCACTTGGTGTAGCCAAGTTAAGACAATTTTGAAAGACAGTGAACTTTTTGAAGCAGAATAATAAAGTCAGTGGTTTTTCTCTATTTGCAAATCTTCCAGAAGCATTAAGGAAAACAAGCCATACACATGTCATTATATGATACCAGAGGATGTCTGAAATCCCAAATCCATACAGGTGTAAACGGTGCAGAATTGATGAACAAATCAAGGAGTGTGTGTATCAGCAGGGGGTAGAAAACAAAAGCATTTCTGATGCTCAGATGGACTGGTGAAGTGCTTTTCATGAACAGAGTGCGTACTCTGAGATGTGAAACCGGAAACTTAGATTAACAGCAGTGCTGTGCACTAGAGAGCTGAGCTCCCTTGGATGCAGTTTGGTTCTGCCAAGCAGATGTAGTAGAGGGAAGTGTAGAAACCAAACCGTATTTCCCAGTAGCCCTCTGTTTCTGTGATAGCAAGAGAGACTTTACGTTTGGGAAAACAACCTCACAGATATCTAAATGTGGAGAAATAATCTTCTGCACCATCTTAGTGGGTACTCCTAGAACACAGGATTTGAAGCAAAAACTTACTCGATTACAGTTGGTCAGGATGTGCAGACTTCCTGCAAAAATGAGGGAAGTGGTTAGGAGGAAGGGAAAGTTCAAGATAGCCATTGCCTTGTCAGCCAGAGCTCTGTAATCAGCACATCTGATTGCTCGGACTAACAGGATAATTTCAGAACTGAGTAACAGTGGGTGTTGAGCTGACTTCACAGAAACTACGTGCCAAGTAGCCAAGTTGGACACAACACCCACCGTTACTCAGTTCAGAGAGGCAGCAGTGCCAGCCTGGTGACCTGATGCAGGAATTGCCATTGCCAAGGCCGCTCTGGCTAGGAAGGAAAGAAGATCTTGGCTGATCTATAAACTGAGTCCAGTACACATGCAAAACGCTTCTCCATAAGGAATTATCTCATTAGCCTAAGACATGACTCTCTTCCCTTCTCTTGAGTAAACCTTGTACAGCATGACGTTCCTTAAAAAGCTCATGTCCTTTCAGCCCGAGTCATTGAACAGGAATCAGCACGAAATACATACAAAAGTGTTGCAAGAAAAACGGATGACAAAAATTGGAAAGAAAGATAGTAGGTGACTGAATTGTCATCTGATCAGAGTAGTCATAAAGTAGATAGATATTGGGACCAAACATCAAATCATGAATTTCAAAAGAGAGAACTAGTTGGATTAATCACCTCTGTGATACAAGTATTTAAGGGGGCACCTGGGTGGCTCAGTTGGTTAAGCGTCCAACTTCAGCTCAGGTCATGATCTCGCAGTTCGTGGGTTCGAGCCCAGTGTTGGGCTCTGTGCTGACAGCTAGCTTAGAGCCTGGAGCCTGTTTCGGATTCTCTGTCTCCCTCTCTCTGACCCTCCCCTGTTCACACGGTCTTTCTCTCTCAGAAATAAAAACATAAAAAAAAAAAAAAAAAAGAAGTTAATAGTAGAAAATAAATAGTTGAATAGTAGAAAATAAATAGTTGGGTGTCAAACTCAGAAAAGAATTGGAACAAAAAATAAAATCACAGTCAAGAAAGCAAATTGGAGGAATCCCGAGGAAGAACAGATACTGTTGAAATTATATTCCAAAAGAAATGAAAAATGTGAGCAAGAAGAACCTGAAATGAATCTTGAAGATTTCAGTAAGAAGAGAGTTCATCTACATACTATACCTACAGTTCATTCCCCAAGGTGGAAAGTAAAAGGAATAGAACAAATATTTAATATAATCAGGGAACACTTTTTGTGGGGGGTTGGAGGGGAGAGGTGCAATTGAATCTGTGTAAAAGAGTCAGGCGTGACCACATTAGGATAGATTCTAATAAAGGGACGAAATTTCCAAAACAATCATTTTGATAACCAGCCAATATAAGAGACAAGTCCAACTAACTTCAGACTTTTCCATAGTTTAACTTGTAGTTAAGAGTTAGAGCAGTTCCTACAAGATCCTCAAAGTGTTCCATTGACAGTATTATACCCACTTAAGAAGATACTCTTTAACAAACAGCAAATCTTTTTTTGAATAGGCAAGAACCCTGGGATCATTGTTCCTAGACCCTTCTATTAGAGAATGAATATCAGGTAACCAAGGAGTGACAGAAAAACATGATGATAACGCTCGTGGTGGGCTTTGTTTTCAACTGAAGAACTAATTAAAGCAAATATGGGAGCTAGCTGACAGAAGAGAATATACCAGTTGCAAATCTGGGCAACACAGAAAGGCTGGGTATGTGTCAATATAGATAAGAGGAGGCTAAAAACAAGTGGAGGACAATGAAGGTGTATGAATATACCTGTTCTAACATGAGGTGTGCATTCCTAAAAAATCGCTGCTCCACATGAAGCAGTGCACTAAGACTCGCTGGGCTAGCGGCAAGATGGGATTGGGGCTGGAATACTTGAAATCTTTGTCAGTGACACAGTGAGAAAGCACTGTTCACCTCTCTAGCTAGAATTTTGTATTCATTTATTTTTCTTTTTAGTTCTGTTGGGTTTTGCTTTATCTGTTTAAAGAATTATTATCGAGGCACCTGGGTGCTCAGTTGGTTAAGTGTCTGACTTCGGCTCAGGTCATGATCTCATGGCTTGTGGGTTTGAGCCCTGCTTCGGGCTCTGTGCTGACAGCTCAGAACCTGGAGCCTGCTTTGGATTATGTGGATCCCTCTCCTCTCTCTCTGCCTCTCCCTGCTTGTTCTCTGTATCTCTCTCAAAAATAAACATTAAAAAAATTTTTTTTACAGAATCATTAAGAAAAAAGTATAAATACGAGGATCTTTATGTCCTCTTGATGAGATGATCCCGTTATAATGAACTTTTTTGCCTCACAAATCCTAGCTAAGCCATTTATTAGCTTAGACAAGTCACTTAACCTCTGTGAGCCTCTGTTTCCTCATTATTAATGTCAGTAATAAGACCTTTGTCAAAATAGGTGTGAGCATCAGATGAGGCAAGGTACAAATTACACAGTGCCTTGCTTTAATAGGCATTCAGGAAGTTTATGCTTTTAGCTAACATTCAACTAGTGCCATCCTAATAGTTCAGGATATATCAATTAATAAGAAAGCCAAGGACTCTGCTTTTGTGGAGCTTAGATTCAGGAGGGAGGTGTAGAGGTAAGTCCATAGAGGAGGAAGTAGACAATAAATAAGGATGCAAATAAATTAATCCTATAATTAATTAGGGATTATAATCATGCCAAATGCTATGAAGGGTTTTATTTTTATTTTTTTAATTTTCTTTTTAATGTCTATTTATTTTTGAGAGTGAGAGAGTGCATGCACACACATGTGAGTTGGGGAGGGGCAGAGAGAGAGGGAGATACAGAATCAGAAACACGTTCCGGGCTCTGACTTGTCAGCACAGAGCCGGATGTGGGGCTCAAACTCACAAACCCCCAAGATCATCACCTGAGCTGAAGTTGCATACTTAACTGACTGAGCCAACCAGGTGCCCCTGGTTATGAAAGGTTTTAAAGATAAGAAAATGAGATGATGTGATCAAGGGCATTTGCAATAAGTGGACTGTTTCAGCCAAGTGGCCCAGGTGGCTTCTTCAAGATTTTAGTTGAGGGTCACCTGGGTGGCTTAGTCAGTTAAGCGTCTGACTTTCGCTTAGGTCATGATCTCGCGGTTCGTGGGTTCGAGCCCCACATCGGGCTCTGTGCTGACTGCCAGCTCAGAGCCTGGAGCCTGTTTCAGAGTCTGTGATTCCCTCTCTCTCTAACCCTCCCCTGCTCACGCTGTCTCTCTCTCTCTCTCTCTCCTAGAAATAAATAAAACATTTAAAAAAATAAAAAAAATAAAAAGATTTTAGTTGAAAAGGACCCAAACCACGTGATCCCTGAGAATAGCATTTCCTGAGAGAGGCGGGAGCGCGCTTGACTTGTCTGGTTGACAGCAGGATGGCTAGTGTGGCTCTGGCGTTGCAAGCGTAGTGAGCAACAGCACGGAGTAAGGTTGGAGACCTCAGCATAAACTTGATCTTGAAGTTCTTGGCCGATGCCGCTAAATTTGAATTTCATTCAGATAAAACCATGGGGGTCTGTTGCAGTTTTTAGTTAGTGACAGAGACTATAATATATCAAAAAAAAAAAATTTGATCTTCATACGTGATTCCTTGCACACAGCTCCAAAATCCTTTGGGGTCTTTGGCGTGAAAAGAAGGTCTTTGGTATACTGGGCTGACTGGGTGCTGGGGGCCACTAGATTGCCTTAGCACAGGGCTGGTCACTGCCAGCAGCCAATGATTCAATCATTCAAGCCTCTGTAATGAAACCTCCATAAGGACTTCTAAACAGCGGAGTTGGAGGAGTGGTGAGTGGCATGCCTGGAGTTTCATACATTCACACAGCACTCACATCCCCAAACCTTGCCAGTGTGTCTCTTCTATTATTTGGCTGTTCCAGAGTTGAATCCTTTATAATAAACTAGTAATAAATAAGTAAATTGTTTTCTTAGTTCCATGAGCTGTTCTAGCAAATGTTCAAAGCTAAGGTGGGCTGGCTAGTCACAGGAGCCCTCACTCTTTAGTTAGAATGCTAGAGGCAAAAAAAGGATGAAACATATAGTACCTTTCTCTTTCTTTTAATTAATGTTTCCATGATATATCTTTTTCACTTATTTTTTTGAAGTTGATTTATTTTGAGAGAGAGAGAGAGAGAGTGTGCGCACAAAGTGCACAAGGGGGGAGGGGCTGAAAGAAAGGGAGGGAGAGAATCCCAAACAGGCTTCACACTGTCAGCACTGAGCCCACCTCTGGGTTCAAACTCACGAACCGTGATGTCTTGACCTGAGCTGAAATCAAGAGTCGGAGGCTTCATCAACTGAGTCACCCAGGTGCCCCTCCATCTTTTTACTTTTAGCCTATTTATATTTAGAGTGGATTTTCTATTGATAGCATTCAAAGACCCATATGGTTGGGCTTTTATACCTAGTGTGAAGACCTCTACTTTTTTAATAGGAATATTTCAACCATTTAAGTGTTTGCCCTATGGAATACAACATCTTTATCAGTTTGATTTCAAACCACATACTATTTTACATGTAGCTTTTCAATCTTATGTCAATATACTTCTGTTCCTCCCATTCTATATGATATCTTACTTCAAACCCTAAGATCAAGAACAAACTTGACCTTTGTTTTGAAAAGCACACCACTTGTTAAGGACCAGTACTTTCAGAATCCACCCAAATGTATTCAGAGGAAATCAGATATAAATACTTCAGAGGTTGTGGTTGGGAAAAAAAAAAAAAGACTACTGAGTATTTTAAATTTCAGCAATTAACAGGGTATGTTTATGTTTCAAAGGAGTATAATCTAACGTTGTGATAGAATGAGATGTTTGGAATGTGATTAATTTTAAATTTCAGTGTAAGTAGGACTTGAAATTGTAGAGAAGTTTGTAAAGACCTATGAATTTATGAGACATGTCATTTTCCTTAAGAACGAAGTTGTGAGCAAGTCCAAAGTGGAATGTAAGCTTGCCAAGTGAAGAGTCTTAGTTGAACTTGAACAATTTTTGACAAATTAATAGCCTGGCATTTCTAGAAAGAAGACATTTATTATGGAACTGTGAAGCGATTAGTTGAACAACACCTAATTATGTATATTGCTCGTAAAAAGTTTTTTTCCCCCCAGAATTATAACTGCAGTCTATTTGCAGTGCTGGTACTTGGAGACAATGGGATGTGAATAGATTTTTAAATAGGATCATCATTGTTATGTTGTATGTACTACGCAAGAGTTAACATGAAGTATGGCTGAGAATTCTTAGGGTAAATAAATATAAATATCTTTGTGTTTTAGTGAGGTCTTCCATGGTTATGAATAAAACCAAGAAATGTGGAAATTTGGGTGTCAAATTATTAATCAGAGCAAGTTTAAAATGGGGAAAAATTAGCATCTGGTGGTAGCATAAGTTTCCTTTTGAACAAACTCTGAGAAACTAAGCTGAATATACCATAACTAAAACCAGGTTATGGATTTGGTCATTTCAGCCTTCTTTCTCTTCTTCCGATTTTACATATCGTGGTCAACATTTGTGTTCTTTGTAAGTAACATGACTAGAGGGAAACTTAAAACTACATTAAAGGAGTCCTGTCACAAGCACAAGTGAATTGGTGCTTTTGGAATTTAATTTGTTATTGACAGTATAATAAGTTAACACGTAGCAAAACAGATGTAATTAAAAACATTTTTTTAAGTTTATTTATTTTGAGAGACAGAGAGAGTGGAGGAAGGGCAGAAAGAAAGGGAGAGAGAAAATCCCAGGCAGTCTCCTTGCTTGCTGTCAACACAGAGGCTGATGTGGGGCTCGAACTCATGAACCGTGAGATCATGACCCAGGCCAAACCAGGATTCAGACATTTAATTGACTGAGCCACCCAGGCGCCCCAAAACAGAGGTAATTTTAAAAGGAAGAGAATGAAACTGGAAACATGTAAACCATAGAGATAATTTAGCTACACTAATGTAAGGATGGGAAGAAAGTTACCTAAAGTATGATCCTTCAGAATATCAGATTGTCCCTCTGGTACCTCTTGAGGGCATTCTCATCTACTAAACTTCAGGGACTCTCTAGTTCTCTGTATTTCCCATTCCGAGATCTGCTCCCCCCTTTTTTTCAATGACTGTTTCCTTTTCTTCATTGCGCTTTATATTTATTTCTAATGTACGTATGAAATCTTAAAATACCTATTTGTAAATTGCCAAATATAGTTGTGCTTGTTAAAAGTTTCTATCCCCCTTTTTCTACCCTGTCAGGCTTTATTTCTTCAGATCCAAAAAGATGGGGCAACGTGACTATTTGGATCTCTCTTATTTCATAAAACTAAGTCAATTATGTAAAAGGGCATTTGTTTGTAAGTGTAATTTCATCATAATTACAATAAGATTAATAACTTATGATTGTTGTATTTTCTTTTCTCATTTCTAGAAGTCTGCAGAGTTGATAACCAACTAGAACAGAATCAGGAAATCCAGGACAGACATTTCTGGCAGGCTCCATTTATCAACAACAAAACACTGACTATACATAGAGGTAATGTATTAGGAAACATTTTTAATTTCAGCACAGACAGCCTTCCTTCTATAAAAATACCCTGTAAGTATGACTTATGTGGTATGAATTTGAAATGTATTTCAGAATTAATTATTAACAAGAAAAACTATTTAAGTAAGAAGCCTGATGACTTCAATCCATGTGGGAAATTGTTCCTTCACAGTAACCCTGAAAAAACTCAAATGGGAGAGAAACCTTGTGAATTCGTTCAAAATGGAAAATACCTCAGTTATAATGAAGATTTCATTTCATATCAGAAAATTAAAAATGTAGAGCAATCCTTAAATCAAAGGAATAAGGAATATGAGGAATGCAGGAAAGATTTCCATGAGAAGGCACTTGTCCCATATAACCAAGCTCATATAGGAGAGAGTCCTCTTGAACATAATGAATCTGATAAAATGTTCTGTAATAATTCAACCCTCAAGGTCCACAAGGTAACACAAAGAATGGAAAATCTTCATGAATTTAATGAATATGGTAAAACTTTGGAGAAGTCATCCCTCTTGAAACCTAGAGTTCATTTAAAGGTAAAGGATTATGAGTACATGGATAGAGTGGTTAGTTTCAATAAGTAGTCTTCCCTGACACAGAAGAGAGAGAATTTGAATATAACAACTTGGGAGAACCTTTCTGGGAGAAGTCCATTCTTAATGTAACCCCGAGAACACACATAAGAGGCAAAGTCCATGAATATAACGAATGTGGAAAAGCATTCTGCAAAAAGTCAAAACTCACCAAACACCAGAAAATACATACAAGAGAGAAACCCTATGAATGTAAGGAATGTGGGAAATGCTTCTCTCGGAAATCCCTCCTCACTTTACATCAGAGAATCCACACAGGAGAGAAACCCTACAAATGTAAGTCTTGTGGGAAATGCTTCTCTAGGAGTTCACACCTCATAATTCATCAGAGGACTCACACAGGGGAGAAGCCCTATGAATGTAACCAACGTGGAAAAACCTTCATAAGCAACTCAGTCCTCACAGTACATCAGAAAACACACACAGGCGAGAAACCCTATGAATGTAATCAGTGTGGGAAATTCTTCTCCAGAAACTCGTACCTTACAGTACATCTGAGAACTCACACAGGGGAGAAGCCATATGAATATGAGCTTTGTGGGAAAACCTTCTGTCACAAGTCAGATGTCACGAAACATGAGAAAATTCACATAGGGGGAAAACCCTATGGATGTAATCAGTGCTGGAAAACCTTTAGTCGTAACTCAGGCCTCAGAGTACATCAGAGAACTCACACAAAGGAGAAACCCTATGAATGTAGCGAGTGTGGGAAATCCTTTTCTGAAAAATCAGTCCTCACAGTACATCAGAGGATACACACAGGTGAGAAACCTTTTAAGTGTAATGACTGTGGGAAAACCTTCTACAATAAATCAGACCTCACTAAACACCACAGAACTCACACAGGTGAGAAGCCCTATGAATATAAGGAATGCAGGAAATTCTTCTCTAGGAATTCATACCTTACAGTACACCAGAAAAGTCACACAGGGGAGAAACCCTATGTGTGTAAAAAATGTGGGGAAACTTTCTACCATAAGTCAGACTATACAGTACATAAAAGAACACACAGGGGAGAGAGATCCTGTCAGTGTAACCAGTGTGGGAAAACTTTCACTTGCAGTTCAGTCCTCAGATCACATCAGAGAACTCACACGGGTGAGAAGCCGTATGAATGTAATGAGTGTGGGAAATTATTTTGAGAGAAATCTGTTCTCACCATACATCAGAGGATACACACAGGGGAGAAACCTTACAAGTGTAATGAATGTGGGAAGTCCTTCTGTCATAAGTCAGATCTCACTAAGCATCAGAGAACACATACGGGAGAGAAACCCTATGAATGTAATCATTATGGGAAAACCTTCGGTTGCAACTCAGGCCTCAAAGTACACCAGAGAAGACACATAAGAGAGAAACCCTGTTGAGGGTGAGATAAACACCCAGAAATCAGTTATCACAGTACATCCAAGGCTACACACAGAGGAAGAAAATTTGTAAGTAGAACGGTGAGAGAAATCTTTCATTCATGATACATACCTCAAAATACCATGGAAAATTCACAAAGGACGTGACTCAAAAGAATGTAAACAATGGCAAATCTCTTACCAGAAGTATTCTTCCAGAGCAAACAAGAGCATACTTATGGGGGAAAATACTCTGAATTTGATGAGTTTTTGAAAATTTGTCATAAACAAGGCAACTGAAAAAGACAGCATGTAGAAGAAAGCATACTAATGCATATAGGGAATATGGGGAATTATTTTATTATGAATTAGAGCTTATTAAACCAAGAATTTACATAGGAGATAATCCAGTCAATTAAACAGATACATAAAAATGTTCTTCCGGAATTTGGCCATTAATAATCAGAGAAACCACACTTGGGGAAAACTGTCAGCATCTTGTATTTTTTTCGAGACCTTCATCTACAAGTTGTGCACATTGTATGTCAGGGAAATAACAGGGGAGATGCCCAAAGAATGCAGCAAACATAGTTGAGCAACTTTGTCAGAAATGCCATATGTTGAGCAACACAATTGATAGAGGAAGTCACAAAGATGTTTTGACTGTACAGGCCTTGACAAAATTCCTGAAGATTGTATTGAAGGAAGTATGTCTTTAGGAAATATAGACAGAAATTTTCCTTTAGAGCTCTTATTCCTAAAGTTATGTTTTTCTCTGATCTCAAAAATTTTTAATAGAAATAAAGCTGAAGGTGGATATTTATAAAAATATTAACCATGGAATGTGAAGTTTTTGAAAAGAACAAACAATAATCTTCTCAGACTCTGATTTCACTTTTGGAGAAACATGTTATCACCCCATGACATTCCCTATCATGAGCCATTGTGTTTTTTTGATTTGTCTGCCTCACAACTATGCTGTTATGTCTGCAAATAATGTGTGACGGTCTGGTTCATCCTGGGGTCTACTCTAGGGATTCCCACCATGGACTAGCCCACCCCAGAGTGTACACCGCCACCAGTCAGAGGCCTCTGAAGGAGGTGTCTGCTCCTCTTTGTAGCTTCTGGAACCAGAAATAACATTGAGTAGTACTCTAGCGTGACCTTTGTGCCCCAATTCAAATTTACAGGAAGAGCATCATAGCATTCTTGCTTGAATTCAAGCCTCTTGACCCAATTATAGCCCACCCTGCCAGGGGAGAGAAACTTGGTGTTGTTTTAGTGAAATATTTCCTGTGTGTGTCAAATTATGAACAATAGCTTAACCATTGGTGTGCCTACGTGCCTTCTGCAGGTTGGGAGTAATGTATTACAAGAATAGTTGAAGTATCTGCATGCTGTCCTCAAAACTATCCCATAGTCTCTAACTTTTTCCACCTTCATCATTTCTCTCAATTTGGCTAATATTGATCCCATGTCTCATTACTTTTATAATAATATTTGTGTGTGTGTGTGTGTGTGTGTGATTATTTTGCTAGCGTATCAGTGAGAACACATATTTTGCAACTTGGTTTTGTCTTCAGATGCATGGTTTTGATATTTATACATATAATTTAGTTGATATGGTTTTACAAAGCAAAATATATGATTATGTAACTGTAACAATAATGTCTAATTTTCTGTCTGATTTTCAAAATTTTATGAGTTTCATTATTAAAACAATAATGTTTCAGAATTTAAAAATCAACTCTGGATAATCATTTAAATATGGCTAAATATGTCCTATTTAAGTAGCCAACTTGAGAGTTTGTTTTATTTTAACTTAATTTATTTAATTAAGAAAGATACTACAATTTTTTAAAATATTTATTTATTTTTGAAAGAGAGAGAAAGATAGAGCACAAGTGGTGGAAGGGCAGAGAGAGAGGGAGATACAGAATCCAAAGCAGATTCCAGGCTCTGAGCTGTCAGTAGAGAACCCGATACAAGGCTCAAACCCATGACCTGAGTTGAAGTTGAATGCTTAACCGACTGAGCCACCCAGGTGCCCCCAACTTGAGTTTTAGTAAGACTATATTCACACGTATTACTCCTGCAGTTAAGAGAGACAATTCACCCATCACCAGGAGGGTTTCTCCTTCCCCTCCCAGCCACTCCTGGGACTTCTTCCTCCTGGCCCCTGGCAACCAGTGATCTGCTTTCTGTCACCAGGTTAGATTGATATTTTTAATATCATTTCACGTAAATGGATCTATGCAAGATATCTTCTTGTCTTTTATTCAGCATGATTTTGAGATGCATCCATGTTTTACCACATGTCAGCCACAACTTCGTGTTTATTGCGAAGTCATATTTTATTGTACACATATATTACAGCTTCTTTGTCTATTCTTTTTCCAGTTTTTGATTGTTAAGAAAGAACATAGCAGCAGTGAACTTCATGTACGTTTTTTTTTTAAATTTTTTTTATTGTTTTATTTATTTCTAGGAGAGAGAGAGAGACAGCGTGAGCAGGGGAGGGTCAGAGAGAGAGGGAGTCACAGACTGAAACAGGCTCCAGGCTCTGAGCTGGCAGTCAGCACAGAGCCCGACGCGGGGCTCGAACCCACGAACCGCGAGATCATGACCTAGGCGAAAGTCGGACGCTTAACCGACTAAGCCACCCAGGTGCCCCGAACTTCATGTACATTTTAATGTAGGCATGTTTTTATTTCTCTTGGATAAATTTTGAGTAAAATTTCTGGGTTTGTATGTTAGTGTATGTAATGTCCCATTCGTCTGAAGTGCTTGTTACATTTTGCCTTTATGTCATCAGTGTGTGAGAGTTACATTTATTCACACTTTTGTCAGTACTTTGGTAATGTAACTTTTCATGATAGCCCTTTTCATGTGCCTAGTAGCATTTCCCTGTGCTTTTCATTTGCATCTTTCACTTACATATTGGCCATTTGTGTCATCTGTTCAAATCATTTGCCCACTTCATAGTTAGGTTGTTTGTCTTATTTTTATTGATTGTGAATATTCTCCCCCAATGTGTGGCCTCTTAAAAAGTTTTTCATTTTGATGGGGTTTCTGGGTGACTCAGTCAGTTAAACGTCTGACTTTGGCTCAGGTAATGATCTCGCAGTTTGTGAGTTCGAGCCCTGCACTGGGCTCTGTGCTGACAGCTCAGAGCCTGGAGACTGCTTCAGACTCCGTGTCTCCCTCTCTCTGCCCCTTGCCCACTAACACTCTGTCTCTCTCTGTCTCAAAAATAAATAAGCATTAAAAAAAATAAAAAATCCTTTCATTTTTATAGTCCAGCTTATCAGTTTTAATATTTTCTAAGAAATCTTTACAGACCCAGTAGCATCACAGATTTCCCCCTTGTTTTCTAAATGCTTTAGCTCTGTGTTTAAGTGTATGATCTGTTTTGAATACATTTTTGTGTATAGTGTATGTTAAGGGTTGAAATTTAGATTATTCCATTTGAACATTCAGGTGTCTTAGTACTATTTGTTGAAAAGACTGTCTTTTCTTCATTGGACTACTTTGGTACCTTTTTAAAAATCCCAGTTGATTATTTGTGTTTGTGTCTGTGTTTTGAGGGGTTCTATCTGTGGACCCTTTTTTTCTGTCTCCCCTGTATACCTTATCTACATTGTCTGTATTCCCACACCTTTGTTAATAAACCTTTAAATGAAATTGTATAAATTCTCAAACTTTGTTCTCTTGTCCAATATTGTTTGGACCTTCTACGTCTTTTGCATTTCTAGTACATTTCAGAATGAACTTGTTGATTTCTTAAAAAAGAAAAGCTGTTTTAATACTGCTTTAGGATTTTATTGACTATATAAGTCAGTTTGGGGAAAGTTGACATCTTAATAATGTTGAGTGTTCTGATCCTTGAACATGATCTCTACCTCTCAATTTAATTAGATCTTTAATTTCTTGAAGCAGCGTTTTGTATTGCCAGAGTATGGATATTGTGTGTTTTATTAGATTCATCCCTAAGTCTGTATCTTGTAAGTAGCACTGTTTATGTAATTTCACTCTTTAGTTGTTCTTTGTTAATTTGTTAATTAGTAGCAGCACAGTTGATCCCTCTGTATTGATCCTGTTGCCTAATCTTGATGAACAAACTTCATTCTGGTGTCTTTTTTGATTAAGGTTTTCTAATTGTATATGACCGTGTCTCCTGCAGTTTCTTTTTAATCTTTACTCTTTTTACATCTTTTTTTGCCTTTTCTTTTTTTTTTTTGTGCCTTTTCTGCCTTTTCATTACAATGCTGAAGACCATTTTTGTGACAAGGTGTCTGTGTCTTATTCTGTCTCCAGGGACAGCATTGAGCCATTCACCACATGTTACGTGTCAACTATGAATGGTGTTTTCTCCTTGAGTTTTCTCAGGATTGTATCATGAATGGATTTTGATTTTTGTCATTTGGTCTTTTAAGCACAAAATCTAATAGTCATATGATCCTTTTAAAATTTTTCTAATATGAGAGGCGCCTGGGTGGCTCAGTTAGTTAAGCGTCTGACTTCTGCTCAGGTCATGATCTCACAGTTCGTGGGTTCGAGCCCCGGGTTGGGCTCTGTGCTGACAGCTAGCTCAGAGCCTGGAGCCTGTTTCGGATTCTGTATCTCCCTCTCTCTCTGACCCTCCCCTGTTCACGCTGTCTCCGTTATTTCTCTCTCAGAAATAAATAACATTTTTTTTAAAAAAGATTTAAATTTTTCTAATATGATTAATTACATTTATATATTTCTAAATGTTCAACTAACCTTGTATTTCTGGAAGAAAATCCAACTGGTTGTGGCCCATTGCTGATACATTGCTAAGTTTGATTTGCAGATTCTGTGTTTAAAAGTTGGTTGTGTCCATATTCATGAAGATGATGTTTGTATGAACTGTGCCAGTCACCTCTTTTGTCTATAACATTGATAATTTGTTTTCTCTCTTTTTCTTCATCAGCTTCAAGAAAATTTACTAGTTTTCCTGGTTATGTTTTTCAAAAGAATGTGCTTGTGGTTTCATTGATTATTCTCTATCCTTTTTTTATTTCATTGACTTCCATTTCTTTACTGTTTTTAATCCTTCCATTCACTATGGGATTATTTTGTTCTTTTTTTGACTTCTTAAAATGAAATCTAGGTTTTCATTGGTTTTTATAGTATTTTCATTTTAATTATAAGCTTTTAAAGTTCTGAATTTCATTCTAGCATCTAGAAATTTTGGAAGGTTGTGTGTTCATTTTCTTTTAGTTTAAAAATATATATTTTTTTCAAAACCACAATGAGATACCACCTCACACCCGTCAGAATGGCTGATATTAACAACTCAGGCAACAACAGATGTTGGCGAGGATGCCGAGAAAGAGGAACTCTATTGCACTGCTGGTGGGAATGCAAACTGGTGTAGCTACTCTGGAAAACAGTATGGAGGTTCCTCAAAAAATTAAAAATAGAACTACCCTACAACCGAGCAAATGACTACTAGGTATTTTTCCAAGGGATACAGGTGTGCTGTTTCAGAGGGACACATACACCCCAATGTTTATAGCAGCGCTATCAATAAATCCAAATTATGGAAAGAGTTCAAATGTCCATCGACGGATGAATGGATAAGGATTTGGTAGATATATACAATGGAGTATTACTTGGCAATCAAAAAGAATGAAATCTTGCCACTCGGAACTACGTGGAGGAAACTAAAGGGTATTATATAAGCGAAATTAGTCAGAGAAAGACAAATATCATATGACTTCACTCATATGAGGACTTAAAGATATAAAACAGATACACATAAGGGAAGGGAAGCAAAAATAATATAAAAACGGGGACAAAAACATCAGAGACTCTTAAATATGGAGAACAAACAGGGTTACTGGAGGGGTTGTGGGGGGGGTGGGCTAAATGGGTAAGAGACATTAAGGAATCAAGCATATTCTTGCACTATATGCTAACTAACTTGGGTGTAAAATAAAAATTAAATAAAAATTAAAAATAAAAGTATACATCTTATAAAAAATTAAAAAAATAAAAATACCAAAAATTTTTTTTCTAATTTGCTTTGAGATTTCCTGCCCCTGCCCCCCATGGCCTATGGGTTATTTAGAAAAGTCTTGTGTGATTTCTTAATATATGGGAATTTTTTCACATACTTTTTTCTGTTATTCATTTCTAATGTAATTTGTGTTCAGAGAATATAATCTTTATGAGTTCACTTTATTGCTCTTGGTCAATGTTCCACGTGCACTTGCAGAGATCATGTATTCTGCTCTTACTAGGTGAGATGTTCAAAAATGTGGTGCCTGGGTGGCTCTGTTGGTTAAGCATCTGACTCTTGGTTTTGGTTCAGGTCATGATCTCACATGGGGCTTTGTGCTGGGGGTGCAGTGCCTACTTGGGATTCTTTCTTTCCTTCTCTCTCTGCCCCTCCCCATTTATGAGCTCTTGCTCTCTAAATAAATAAATAAACAAAAATAAATAAAATGTCAGGTCAAGTTGGTTGATAATGTTTTGCAAATTATATGTATTAGTGCTGAATATCCCTTTCACCTATTTTAACCATTCTTGAGAAAGCTATGTTGAGGTTTCCAGCTGTGATTGTGACTTTGTGTTTTTCTTTTCTGTCATTTGTCATGTAACCTGAAGCTCTAATGTAAGGTACGGTCACATTAAGATTGTTATGTCTTCTTTTTCATTGTGAAATTTTTCTACTTATTCCTCACAAAACTCGTCTTCCTGAATTGTTATTTTTATAATAACATAACTAGTTACGCTTTTTATAATTCGTGTTTGCA